TCGAAAATACAAATGATGCTTGCTTCCCTCTTCTAAGTTGTAATGGTTCTAGTTTTTAGGTGACGCCATAGAGAGTTTTAACGTATGACTAAGAATCTTGGTGACAACTTAGTTACTTTCTTTTGTTCCATTCCAGGCAATGGAAATCCATATTGACTACATGATCTACCTCATTAACTTCATCATCTACGTTGTCCTCTGCTACATGATCATAAAACAGGCTAAGAACGATATTTTTGCGCCAAAGAAAATGGAAAGAAAACCAGAAGTTCGATGTCCAACACACGGACGCCTTTTAGTCAAACCAGATGGTTCTAAGCAGCACATTACGCGATCTTAATCAAAGGAACCCCAGCTAATTTTAGCGAAATTTTAAGCCGATCCTTCAATAAGAAAAGCTACAGTCCCACACCCGGTTGCATTTTCATAGATGCCTGCTGAATATTTCAAGTAGCTACTGTTTCCCTCTCCGAAGAAAAGCTGTATATAACCCAGAGCAGCTTGATAAAATTATGCAGTTGTAAAATACTTCGAGTAGCTTCAAAGCATATGGATGTATTTCACTATAATAAGAAACGTATACCTTTTATAACTGAATAAAATTGAGAAAAAAATCATCGAGATTACTGCTGTCTTTTGTGAAAATAGTGAGGAAAGAAGGAGAGGATCCAAGACCCTAATAAACTAATTTTGAATGCATTTTCCAGACTAATTAAAAAAGAACAAAGCGACTGAAGATGCACCGCGCTAAGATGGACACAATTTGCATCCACAAGAGGTAGCATGTAATTATATAACTCATAAACTACGATTCCAGCTTGAAAACGAACCCAATGAGTAACTTATTTTGAAAGCGAATCGCCCGACGGGCACGAGGCAGCGATTAGCCGCCACCTGTGTGATATCGGATCCCAGTAATCGGCGACATTTCTGCTGTTCCTCAAATCTTTCTCGGTTGCAATTGGTTGCAAGTGGAATGGGGCCTAGATGAAAATTTGAAAAGGAGAGAAACTAAAAGAAATAGAGTAGGGAAGCTAACTATATAAAAACAGCAGTAGGCTGTTAAAGACCACCTCGAGAACTTCAGTCAGACCTTCGGGATTCACGGTCAGTTTCTACACCATTGATATTCAAGGAGCTGTATATCTCATGGTGAAAGCCCGAACCTTAGGCTCATTATCAAATTCATATACGAAGGTCCTGTATAGTGCTAGAGACAGTTATGTCGAGGGTGTCGTGTGTTTAAAAATAATTTGCAACGAGAGGGGTAAAAAAGGAAAGAAAAAGGGAACTAGTGCTGTTATGAAACGACTTAAGGCGCGGCTACCCTCGCTGTGTAATTTTCTTCCAGTGTTAACAAAAATCATGTCTTTGTAAATACAGAAGTGCACATACAGTGGTTCCTCTGTCACATTATTTGCAAATAGACGCACCATTCTTTGATAAAGAGCACGCGCGTGTTATTGATACAGAAGGGCCCCCGCTTTTTCAGCTTGACCAGTTGGATCTCAAAGACGTCATTCCCTACTTGCTATTCTAGGGCAGATTCCGCGTATGCCAATTAGATATAAAGTGAACACTTTCTGATCTAGGCCCATTTCGCAACGTTGGGAAAATGTTGCTGTACGTTGTTGTTGCTATGTCTTTGTGCGGTACCTTGAGTTACAATCCAGAAGGTGAGAATGGTAAACCAAGAAGAATTGAGCTAATAGAACCCACATTCATTTTTGTCAGTTTTACAAGTTATTTTAATGAATCACTTTCAGCTTTTGAAAATCCATAACTAGCAACCTAAATACCCGTATTGCGTCTAGAGCTTGGCTCACTAGAACAACTAATGGACGACTATCCAAGGATAATACAACTGAAATCTAAAAATAACTTAGCAACGCCTTCATTTGAAATCTCAATCTTTTTTGAAGGAAGTGGTGTCGTATCTTGATCTTCTCTTGTGTCAACGCAGTCAATTTTAAGCGGAGCCTGTAACTATTCATAGAGAAAAAAAAACTTATGAGAAGCTCTTTGTGCCACAACCTTTCGTAGGTGAACTCGACATCCTCTAGTAAGAGACTGCTTAGACAAGATCGATATTTTTATTGTAAAATCAATACAGTCAGAACTTCTCAGATAAGACTTCCTTTCGCTTATAGGCGGCCACCTAACTTACTACGATCTGCCCACAGTCTCGCAGGCTTCAAAAGAAGTGCGAAGCTTTTTCCCCACATTATATGACGATAAACTTTTTTTCTCTTTAAGATTCTAAGCGACTTTCAGTTTTTCGATCATAAGATTGCATGAAGTGCAAAAAGTATTCTTGTTTTACGGATGATGGTCTTTCGCGTTGATAAAGACCTCTTGGACAACAACAAACTTTGACCCAGATTTCCCCCCCCCCCC